GAGGATGTCAGCCGACTGGCTCCGGCTATATAAGAAGCTCGCTGACTCGTATTCTGCACAACAACTGTGATTGTCACATCACTAGCAGCAGCTTCCAGCTCCAAACTGCTGACCCCACCGCCCAAACCACAGGCACCATGTCCACCTCCCTCAGAGTCAGCCCCTCCGTGCATGGCTACCACTTCGACACTGCCAACCGCAAGAGAGCCACGGGCAACATCTTCGAAGGGGTGGATCAGGACTCCCTGCAGAGGCTCTTTAAAAAGACCGGCGACAAAAAGGCGGAGGACCGGGCCAGGATCATCTTCTGCATCGACCAGGACAATGAGGAGAAAGGCAGGGCGCTGCTGGCCCTCAAGCAGAGGACCAGGGACAAGATCCTGCAGTTCCTCAAGCTCAGGAAGCTCCCCATCAAGGTGATCTGAGGCCTGGCGACCGCAGAGCTTGCGATCTAAGCAGAGAAGCGGCTCCTCCTGAGACTGGAGGAAGCCGGCGAGGACGGTTCGAAGGAGCCCGCCGCCGAAAAGCCTGAGCCTGATCCCTTCGCGGTGGTCGATGGGACCGGTCCGCAGAGCTGGCGATCCGACCTCAAGAGACTGTCCTCATGAGACTGTTTCAAGGAATGCCTCCGGAGAAGGTGAAAGGTGTAACCCCCCCCACACACAACTACGTGGGTCACCGAAGGAGAAGAGGCGCCGTGGCTGAGAACAGTGAGATGGCTGGTGACACATGTTTGTGCCAGGTGAATGCTCCTGCCATGGACAGTATCCGGTATTGGGGACACCAGCCCCCCCATGTGAGCAGAGGGAGCACAGAGAGGACTGAGATGATGCTAATATGACTTTTCTTGGTGCTGTAAATCTTCAAATAAGCTATTTTTTATGTGATTTGTTTAATAAATCATTTTTTAATTATTTAAATTTCACTTGTATTTCTATTATTTATTATTAGTATTATTATTATTATTTCTATTATTTATTATTATTATTTCTATTAATTATTATTATTTATTTTTTATAAGTATTAATCTAAACATGCTGCTTTCAGATCTACGGGCGATAAGATGACAATTGCACTTGCAATGTGCATTGCGCATCACTACATGATATTCAGTCACTGCTCCTGACCCAAGCCATGTGTGCATCTCCAGCTGTTGTAGAACTACAGGTATCAGCATGCCTGCCACGACAGCTGCTGGAGATACACAGGTTGCCCCAGCCATTGATGTATTTCGGTATTACAGCCGGTGGGACATACAGGAAGGGCAGCTGTGATATGTAATATTGGCAGTGGAGGGTCAGGGCATGTGTGGCATGTGAGCTTACAGGGTCATACACGGCAGAGTTCTGCCAATACAGACTGAGGGGAATTAAATAACATTATATTTCGGTGTTCATAAATATCCGGGTGCCATATGTTCAAAAAATGATGCCGCAGATCTCAAGTGGTGTGAGAGCAATACAAGTCCTGTGATTTGAAATGATAAATGGTAAGACTATAAAAAAAAAAAAAAAAGGGGAAATATTTTCAAGAATTTTTTTTTTATTTAAAAGGGTGTTCAGGATAACAGTCGCCATACTAAGAAAATTCAATACAAAATGGTGCTAATATTGTAATAAAATATCTGTCATTTAAAACAGTGATCATTACAACAGTACTTCTATACAACACTCATAAATCACTAAATAAACAAAAATAACTAAATAAAAATAAAGGTGGTATTATTTTTAATAAAACATCTGTTATTTAAAAAGGGTGTTCAGGATAACGGTACCTCCATACTAAAAATCCATACTAAAAATAAAAACAAATTAAAAAAATGGTGCTAATATAATAAAACATGTGATCATTACAACAGTACTTCTATACTACACACATAAATTAATAAATAAACAACTAAATAAAAAAAGTAAAGGTGGTATTATTTTAATAAAACATCTGTTATTTAAAAGGGTGTTGAGGATAACAGTACCTCCATACTAAAAATTTTTTTTTTTTAAATGGTGCTAATATTGTAATTTAATATCTGTCATTTAACATTGTGAACATTATAACGGTACATTCTATACTACACAAAACATTATAACGGTACATTCTATACTACAAAAAAACAAATACAAATATAAATAAAGGTGGTATTATTTAATAAAACATCTGTTATTTAAAAGGGTGTTCAGGATAACAGTACCTTCATAGTTAAAAAAAAAAAAAAAAAAAAAAATGGTGCTAATACTGTAATTAAATATCTGTCATTTAAAACAGTGAACATTATAATGGTACTTCTATACTACACAAATCAATAAATAAACAAACAAGTAAAGAAAAAAAGGTGCTATTATTTCAATAAAGCATCAATCATTTAATGATAACAGTTCGCCAACACTAAATTAACAAAAAGGTGATATTATTATAATAAAACATTTGTAATTTCAATTAGTGTTCGTGATAACAGTACCTCTATAGTAAATAAAAAAAAAAAAATACAAAATAAAGATGGTTTTATTTCAATAAAACATCTGTTATTTAAAATGGTGTTCATGATAACAGTACCTCTATACTAATCAAAATAAAAAAAAAATGGCACCAGCATTATAATAAAACATCTGTCATTTAAAACAGTGTTCATGATAAAAGGTACATTAAAAATACAGGTGGTATTATTTCAATAAAGCATCTGTTATTTAAAACAGTGTTCATGACAACAGTACCTGTATAAAAAAAGAAAAAAAAATGGTGCTATTATTATAATAAAACAACTGCCATTTAAAATAGTGTTCATGATAATGGTACCTCTATACTTAATAAATATATAAATAAATAAAAACATGGGTTTGATTATTTCAATAAAGTG